ATTGAGAACAATTTACATAATTAGGCATTTTAAGATTGATTATTTATTTATATTCTGTTTATTATTTTCGTATTTTCTTTCCGTAGTAATCGAAAGTTCTTTTTAGTATTCTGATTAAAATTTTTGCAATATATTTATCGCAAATATCTTATCATTTGTGCTACATTTTTACCTGTTGTTTTAGTTCGCTAACATATTCTAATTGTTATTGTAGTCAAGAGCGAGAAACGCAGTTATTGTTTTTCTCCTATAGATAATAATTATTATAAGTACTCAAGTTCGAAAAGAACTACCTTATATTTCTTATTATCTTGCATATTATAACTGATTATTATTTAATTTGTTTGAATATATTAGAGGAGGAGATGCCTATTTATGCTTTAAACACTTTAAATGTGAAATTTAATATTACTAAACGATAGAGTAATATATTTTGGGAAAAGTTTTGTGCTTTTCCAAGAGGGAAATTCTTTTTTTCTTAAGTTGATCTGTTGACATATGCCAAGTGCAGAAATAAAGTATAATTCTTGGCTGAGATAGAAACGTACAAATTTAAAATAAGAACTGTAGGATGATGAGTGAGGATGATATTTTACTTGGCTTACAATAAAAGCTGTTATTTAAATATACCACACCAGACCATTTACTGAACATTATTAAAATCAAAGAATTAATTCATTGGATATAATTAATGGTTTATCTGTTCCTGTGATATATACACGTAGACTTTTCATTCTTTAAAGCCATTTCAATAAACATAAATTCCACGTTTTTATGTAATCTATATATATATATATAAAAAAGAAAGTCGTGTTAGTTATACTATTTATAACTCAAGAACGGCTGAACCGATTTGGCTGAAAATTGGTGGGAAGGTACCTTAGAACCAGGATATAGGATACAGGATACTTTTTTTATCCCGTTCTCGTCGAAGTTGACATAAAACGTGGTATAAGAAAACGCAACTGATATGGAATAACAAAACGCAACTGACAGAAAAACGAAAAATTTATCAGTCAAAACATCAGTCTAGCCGTTCATTTGTTAAAAATGGTATAACAAAAATTTAATCTCTCTTGGGGGGGGGGGGAGTGGTGAAAAGGAGTGGCAATGTTTAAATGGAACATATATTATTTGTGGTCAGATTTACTTGAAACTTGGTTTAATGGTTTCTCATTTAATTTCTGAAAGACCTACCTCGACATTGAAAAAATTTAACCTCCAAAGGGGGGGGTAAAAAGGTGTTGCAATTTTTGTTTGGAACATACTTTATTTGTGGTTAAATTTACTTGAAACATGGTATATATGCTGTTTGATATTATTAATCAAATGAAAAGAGGTTGCAACGTTTCCATGGGATATATTTTATTTGTACTCGGATTTACCCGAAGGTTGCTCATTGTTGAAATTAAGAATATGCGTGTTTCGGAAATTTCTAAAAATTAACTGTTAAGGGTGAAATGTTGTTGCTACGTTTGTATTTGAAATCTAAGATGGCGACATTACATAAAATTAAAACGTTATAAGGGTGAATTGAGAGTTAAAAGGTTTTATGGAGAAACAACATTAATTTTTGCGAGCGGGGAAAAGCTAGTATGAGATAAAATTTACGGAAACATTTAACTTATAGTATTTTGTCGACAACAGTTAAATGCGAAAAATATAGTAATAAATGTTTCTCTAAACGGTTTTTATTTAGTGACCCAATGATACGTGTCCTACAAGTCTCTGTTGTTGTCACCTGTCGAACTATTCTTGTGATGTTAGTAATAGTAATTTATCACTAGTGAGCTTTTTGGGTTAACACGTTATTTAGGCGGAACAAAATTTATTTTTATTTGTGTAGGTATGTACTATATTCTAAAAACCTATTGAAATTTATTAAAAATACAAATGAAGAAGTTTTCAAAGAACATTAACTTTTTGGTCAATAATTTATCGGCATTTTTGGAATGAAGGGGGAATTTAACGTAACAAAAAACTTTGTTCTTGACAAAATTCTTGTCGATTTTTATCATGTCTAACTTAACTATGTAAATAGGTATTAGGTAGATGTATGTTTGTGTGATATTGTAAGTAGTTTCTCTTGTTAGCTACAACACACCCGTCCATTAAATAGGTCTGTTATCTATCTGATAAAAAAGAGTAGCTTTAGCATAATGAAATGGTAAACAAACATCCTTAAATAGGATGCGCATAATTAAGATTGATGAAATTGTTGGAAATGCAACGTTCATTTAGCGAGTAAATTGTTCAAAATTGGCAATTTCCTTACTCGCCCATGCCAATTAATTAAAGAACGCAATTTCCAAAATCGATCTAAAATGATAAACGTACTAAAATCCCATTCTGCCATTCTTTCCATTGTCCAAATTTTTAGCAGTAGTTCAACTAGTTTAACACTATTTTATTAGGTACTAATATTATTGTAATATGGTACGCAGATGATGCTTAAAAAAAAATTATCATGTTGATACTTCAGTTAGTAGTTTTGTGAACATTATTTCACAATGGCTAGTGTTTGGCTTTGCCTTTTTACTAGGCTATCGCCTGATTGCTAGAAGCAAATTAATATTTCAACACATATTCTAAGTAATATTTTAAATGCGAATGTAAAGTTGTTTGTTTGCTACAATTTCACGCCTTAAGTACTCAATCGATTATTATGAAATTTTGTACACACATTGTCAGGGGTACAAAAAAGGGCATAGGGTAAGTTTTATCCAGAAAAAGTACTGTTCTCAAGGGAGACAATTGTCAGTTTTATGTGGTTGTCGATGATCTTTAACATGTATTTAGGACATCAACGAGAATGAAACTGGGGGTGAAACCTATCATGACATTTTGTACATACATTGTCAAAGGTATATAAAAAGACATAGAGTATTATTTATCTAGAAAAAAAATACTGTTCCCAAGGGATAGAAAAAATATGTTTTATGTGGTCGAGTCCCCTTCATTAAAAAGAAGTCTCTTCTACGCTCGCGAACGGTTAATTCAGAAATTCGTAAAAGGTTGTTAAAGGTGTATGATTGGTGCACGGCGCTGTACGGGTGCGAAACATGGACAGTGTGCGCGGCGGAAACGAAGAGGTTAGAAACGTTCGAAATGTGCTGTTACAGGCGAATGATCAGGATACCGTGAATAGAGAAAGTTAGAAATGGAGAGGTATTAGAAAGAGTAAGAGAACAGAGGACTTTATGAAAGTCAATAAGGAATAGGCGAGATAGGTTAGTAGGACACCTTCTCAGACATGAAGATCTAGTCAGAGACATTAGAAGTTAGGAGGGGTAGATATAGACCTAGACTAGATTACTGTTCGCAAATAGTTAAGGATATGAGTTGTTCAAGCTTTAGGAAAATGCGAAGATTACCTCAGGATAGGAAAGAGTGGAGGTGCGTGTCCAACCAGTCTTAGGACTGACGACCTTATGATGAATGATGTGATTGTTGATAATCTTCGACACTTATTTTGGGCGTCAACGCCAGTGAAGCCGCGGGTAAAACCTATTGTTTATTTGACTTCCTGCTGTAATAATAAAATAGAAGATTGAGGACGTTGAACCAAATTCACCCTCGTTAATGGTAATTTACTTGAATGTGGAAAAGGATTGCAGTCAGATTCATTTCCATTGCGTAGATCTTAGATTATATTACTTTCCGAAAAAGGACGACGATTTAGCTTCTTCATTGTAGAACAAACAGAATAGCTCAAAACCCCAACGCCAAAACACGACACTGTAGTTGTCCGAAGCACTTTTCGGTAACAAAGTTACCTTCTTCAGGGACTGAAGTAAACTGTCCCTGAAGAAGGTAACTTTGTTAC